TGGGACCAGGAACACATGGAAGAACAGCAGTGCCCCCAACCCAGCCCCACAGCATCCCTATGGGGTGACTGTCACCCTACTGGGACCAGGGACACATGTGGACAGCGGTGTCCCCAGCCCAGCACCACAGAATCTGTATGGGGTGACTGTCACCCTACTGGGACCAGGAACACATGGGAGTACAGCAGTGCCCCCAACCCAGCACCACAGCATCTCTATGGGGTGGCTGTCACCCTGCAGGTACCAGGAACACATGGGAGAACAGCACTGCCCCCAGCCCAGCCCCACAGCATCCCTATGGGGTGACCATCACCCTGCAGGTACCAGGGACACATGGGAGGACAGCAGTGTCCCCAGCCCAGCCCCACAGAACCCCTATGGGGTGACCATCACCCTGCTGCTACGAGGGACACACGGGGGCAGCAGTGCCCCCAACCCAGCCCCCCCTATGGGGTGAGTCGGTGGGGCCGAGCCGATCCACACCCCAAGGATGCTCTCACCCCTCCCCATGCCCGGCGCTCACCTCGCTCTTGCTGGGGGTCTCGGGGGGGCCGCTCTTTTTGCCCGTGGCCGCCTGGATGGTTCCGCTGGCCAACGTGGCGATCACCTGGCCCTGGGCATTGAGCAGCAGCTGCGGGGTCACCGCCTGCACCTGCAGGCTGGGGGTGGGAGCCGGGCTGGCCGCCGCGATGCCGGGGGGGTTCACAACCCAGGGGAGGGTCCCGATCACCTGGGCAGTGGGAGACAGCGTGAGCTGCGGGCGGCCATCCCCCAAAGACCAGCCCACCGCGCCGACCCCTCCCCTACCCCCGCCCCCCCCGGTTAGCGGTACCTGTCCCTGCGCGTTGGTCAGGAGCTGCCCCGCGATGCTCTGCACGCTGGGGATGGTGTTGGCGATCACGGGGGCGGCCGCCAGAGAACCGAGGAGCTGCGTCTGACCCCCCAGGGAAGCGGCACCGATCTGCGGGGAGCGACAGGAGCTGTCACCCCATCGACCCACGGCCAATGTGGGTCGTCCCCCCCCTCCGTGCCCGCCCGGGACAGCAGAGAGGGCTCAGCATCCCACGGAGATGGGGAAACTGAGGCAGGGGAGGGACGCCGGAGGGGCACAGAGCCCTTCGCCCGCGGCACACGGGGTGGCAAACGTGGGGGGGGGGTTGTGGGGGCCGCCCGGCTCCTTACTATGCCCGGGTTAAAGGCGAATCCGGCTGGCTGCACCGCGATCTGGGGCTGCGTCTCCAGCGGTTTCGCTGCGGGAGCGGCGTTGGGTTGCGGTAGGATGGGGGGGGGCTGGGAGGGGTACGAGCTCTGCGGTTGCGGGGGGGGCCGGGGCTGAGCGGGGGGCAGCGGGGCCGGGATGGCCGTGTTGAGGACGGCGGCGGCGGCTGCGGGGAAAGAGACGGAAAGATCGTGAGAGGGGCAGGAGGGGACGCAAAGCCGCCTGCGGGTTCGGCTCCGTCCGTCCCACCCCGAGGACGCTGCGGGTCAGCCGGCAGCTCGGCAACCCCCCCCTCCGTCCCACCTCCTCCCTCGCCCCCCACCAACCCAGGGATGGATCCCTCCGCCCCGCTCTGCACCGACAGAGCCCACGATGCTGACCCCGGGAGGTGAGGGGGGGGAGGGGGTTCCCAGCCCTGAGCCCCGAACCCCGAACCGGACCGCGATCCCACGGCTGCCCCCGGCCCCGAACCCCGCGCCGGTCCTCGTCTCACCCCACCGCCATCCTCCGTCCTGCCCGCCCCTCTCCCGCTCTCCCAGCACCTTTCGGACGCGGGGGGGTCCCGACAAACCCTGCTTCTTCCAACGCCCGCCATTAACCACCGGTGCAGACCCCTCCGGGAGAGGACGGCCGCGGTTCGGCGCAAGCCGGGGAGGAGCAGCGTGCAATTAAGGATGCTGCAAAGCAGAAGAGCACCGGTTACCTTGCAGATTGGCTATAGGCGGTTTGAAAATTCCCCCTGTAGGAGAAGCAGCCGTCAGTCCGGGAAGGGCAGCGACCGTTGCTGTAGGAAATGTCCACACAGCCAGCCCCTGCTGACCTGCCACTTGACCTGCAATACTGATGGGGATAAGAAGAGGTTGAGTAACTGTCCCTGCCGGAACCATTACTCCTGTCACAACTGTTGCTAAGTTTTCCTGAGTCAAGACCTGCAAAAGCAAACAAGATTTAAAAAAGAACAAAAATCAACTCCACTGCACACAGCATCAGCGAGGCAAGAGCGAGCGCGGCCGGTGCTCCCTCCCATCTCACAGCTGGGATCCCAGCTCCACCGACCCC